ATGTTATTAATTTTTCACTCCATATCAAACTTAACCGCCGTATCGATCATCACTTCAATCACAAATCTCAGTTTCACATCTCAGACCCATTCAAACCCACCCTCCTTTAATTGCTCTTTAATGAGGGCAGATTTCCCTTGAAAAAACCTACAGGGAGTGGTAAAACAGTCTCTGTATAAGTGTATTGATACCTACATTCGCCCACAGCATACAGAGACACTTCCGCGGGCCGATCGGCGACCGAGAGACAGTATTCAAGTCATGTCCTAGGGCAATGCAAGAGACTATCTTGTATTCGTGCGTCATCTCGGGTTAATCTCTCAAATTCTGTTCAAATCAAAGTTTGTCCAAATCATTTGTATTCGTACTCAACGGTAACCGTGGATACATGCAGTGCTGACATTCTGTGCGATGTACATTTCAGTGTGATTTCAGATGGAGACTAAAAGATGGTCGCGTTCTTTTGCATGTGGTCACGTGGTAATTTGTAGGTGGGCGTATATAGCAGAATTTACACGTTTCATCTTTTAACGATATATTGTGTCAGAAATCCCGGACAGGAAGCGGATAGATAGTTTCCCTGTTAATATATATAAACGATTGTCGCTAGGCAACAACACCTTTACATGATAACGGTGGTAGAAGTTGTGACGCTATTATACCGCGTGCCATATTATTTTTGTTAGTTCATGGAATCAGGGAGCACTTCGTTAAGAAGAGAGACAACTTGAGCCCTGTGCCTCCTTTCACAAAGCACTAAGGTGATCATAAGTCACTAAGGTAAATTAAGTGCAATGTTAAGGAATGGGAGTTAAGGTTAACCTTAGTAAAGGTTGCTTCATGAGAGCAGCCCCTGGTCATTATTCAACGTCATGTTCGTGGTTTGCAAAACAGAGTTACTTCCCCTCACTCTACGTTCACGTCCGAATAGACTCGTACTGCGTATTTAACTACCGGAAAGCCAAAACTCGAAAGAATGAGCGTTTTCATATATGAGCGCACTTTCATTTAAGACCAACGTACAATTGATAACTGCATACAGAACAGTAAGATTCATTATTACTAGGACATTTTTGCTGATTAAGCTATGAAGATTTTAATAATAAATATTATTAATATATTCCTGAGTGTCGCATCCCAGGAAATAAATCGTTCCATATTTATGACGCACTAAAAAACATATAAGGAAAGCTGTTTCTTCATTGTACAGTCAACTCTCGTTAATCCGACACTTGTGGTTGCAGACAATGTATTTACAATAATCAGTTGCTAGATTGGTGTGTCGGACTCGGAATGCGAGAATGTCGGATTAACGAGAGTAATTATCACTGTTTTAAATGGTTCCCTAATTTTTTGTCGGATTAACGTGATTGTCGGATTACTGAGTGTCGGATTAACGAGAGCTGACTGTATATGTGTAAGTTTCAGGTTTACGTAGTAGCCAAAGTGTCTGTAGCAAGTATCCTTAAATTATAATATGACAGAAACCTGATATGATTCTAGCAAATGCTAATGAATTTGGTGCAGTTTAACTTTAAGTGAATCCTCTATCATGGCAGCCCTGAACTAACACCGGATTCACCTTTAGGGACTGTTTTGTGGAGGTGACCTTTGAAATAAGTTTAATTGCTTTGTTTTCAAAATGTCAAACTGCCTCACAAGAGATAGAGAAGCGATCAAATAACGGATGGTTGGAAAAACAATTCACTGCATGACTGTTTTACATGACGCTATGGATACACTTCTCACAGAAAAACAATATGTTTTAATTAGATTTCAAACATTGTGTACATTACAAACATGGGTATCATGTTCTGGAACCCCTATTTGCATAAAACAGAAAAAGGGAATTTGACATTAAAATTCTGTTTACAATTTAGATTACATTCGTGTAGCTATGTCCGAAATACTTTAACAGTTTGTTTTTAAACAACATGTCTAAAAAGATACAAGAAGATGAAGAAAAAAACGAAAACACAACACAGATGTTACCATGATTTTTTTTCTGAAATGAAATTGAATTTCAATGCCTGTGAAACGTTCTACATTGATATATATTTATCAAACATATATGTGCATACAAGAGGTATTTGAAATTAGATCCCGCGAATATTAAAAAATGACTCACCCCAACATCAATTTGCCTCTGCTTTCGCTGATAATAATTTACTATGTGACCAGTGTGGCAGGAATGAAACACTCCCCTAAATTTCAAGGGAATCAATTTAGATCCGGGTTAGAAATGATCCTCCGTTAACCCATGCTTGCCGTAAGAGGCCACTAACGGGATCGGGTGGTCAGGCTCGCTGACCTGGTTGACACATGTCATCGTATCCCAGTTGCGTAGATCACTGAATTGTCTAGTCCAGGCTCGATTATTTACAGACCGCCGCAATATAGCCGGACTATTGCTGAGTGCGGCGTAAAACTAAACTCACTCACTAGCGGAGTCACCAGATCCTAGAACTGGTACACTATAGGGTGAAATTAACCCCTCCAATCCAGCATAAAAATTAATCCCCCTTATGATAAAGTCACTCACCCGGAAAGAAGGCAAAATATGTTTTAATTTGGCAATAATATTAACTCAACTCAAAAGGGTTACAACATGCCACTGAAAATCCACAGTGGCGGTACCACTGAGTTGTGTGAGTGTCCCGGATGTGCATGGTATTCACATGTTGACTTATATTTCCTATATATGAAGTTTACAGTCAACTAATTATGCACAATAAATTATTCTTGCATATTAGAACGGCGGTATGTTGAAATTAGTTTTTTAAAAACTCATGTGATTCTTTATAGTTTGTCTATATGGTTGCAATATTGCCGAAGCAATATAGAGAATCTCAATTCAGTTCAATCAATCAATCATTTAATTGCCGGAATTGTCCTGGTGCATGTCAGTACTCTATGTCAGTACTCTATCAGTACTCTATGTCAGTACTCTATCAGTACTCTATGTCAGTACTCTATGTCAGTATTTTATGTAAGTACTCTATGTCAGTACTCTATGCCAGTACTCTATGCCAGTACTCTATGCCAGTACCCTATGTCAGTACTCTATGTCAGTACTCTTTGTCAGTATTCAATGTCAGTACTCTATGTCAGTACTCTATGCAGAGTACTCTATGTCAGTACCCTATGTCAGTATTCTATGCCTGTACCCTATGCCAGTACTCTATGCCAGACAATATGTCAGTACTCTATGTCAGTACTCTATGCCAGTACTCTATATCCGTACTCTATGTCAGTACTCTATGTCAGTACTCTATGTCAGTACTCTATGTGCCAGTACTCTATGTCAGTACTCTATCAGTACTCTATGTCAGTACTCTATGTCAGTACTCTATGCCAGTACTCTATGTCAGTACTCTATGCCAGTACTCTATGTCAGTACTCTATGTCAGTACCCTATGTCAGTACTCTATGTCAGTACTCTATGTCAGTACCCTATGTCAGTACTCTATGCCAGTACTCTATGTCAGTACTCTATGTCAGTACTCTATGCCAGTACTCTATGCCAGTACTCTATGTCAGTACTCTATGTCAGTACTCTATGCCAGTACCCTATGCCAGTACTCTATGCCAGTACTCTATGTCAGTACTCTATGCCAGTACTCTATGCCAGTACCCTATGTCGGTACTCTATGTCAGTACTCTATGCCAGTACCCTATGCTATGTCAGTACTCTATGTCAGTACTCTATGCCAGTATTCAATGCCAGTACTCTATGTCAATACCCTATGTCAGTACTCTATGTCAGTACTCTATGTCAGTACTCTATGCCAGTACCCTATGTCAGTACTCTATGCCAGTACTCTATGTCAGTACTCTATGTCAGTACTCTATGCCAGTACCCTATGCCAGTACTCTATGTCAGTACTCTATGTCAGTACTCTATGCCAGTACTCTATGCCAGTACCCTATGCCAGTACTCTATGCCAGTACCCTATGCCAGTACCCTATGCCAGTACCCTATGCCAGTACCCTATGCCAGTACTCTATGCCAGTCCCCTTTGTCAGTACTCTATGTCAGTACTCTATGCCAGTACTCTATGCTTGCTAAACACGTTTGATGTATTCGTTGTAGTTTGTTAGGTCACCATAACATTGGTCCACAGCACAGGTACAACGCGCAAGGGTCTTATTGAATCACTTGCCTGCTGGTCGTCTTGTAATGTAATGTAAGAAGACAGAGGCCATCGTCGGCTTCCTTATATATACTGTATATATTAGAAAGCGTCCAGACGTTCCATAAATCGCCATGTTGGATGAGTTATTGTTATCGTCACCAATATATAAGAATTCATTATGTTAGACTGTCATATGCCACGTTTCAGAATATCGCTTGTCTCGAATTTCGGGTATCAGAACCGTCGAGTTAACAAAGCGTCAGACTATGCACCACGTATATTTCGACTTATAACTTCATACATGCAAGAGGTGTTGGGTTGCCTCATGTATGATTTTACACCGCTTTTAGCAATATTCCAGCAATATCACGGCGGGAGACACACTTCACACATTGTATCCATGTAGGGAATCGAACCCGGGTCTTCGGCGTGACGAGCGGACGCTTTAACCATCTGGCTACCCCACCGACCCTGGTGCATGCGGTTGCTTGTCACGTCAAAAGCCAGGGTTGCAAAGTGTAAAGCCCATCCTTGGCGTCGAGAGATAGCTGGAATACTGCTCACTCACTCACTCACTCACTCACTCACTCACTCACTCACTCACTCACTCACTCACTCACTCACTCACTCACTCACTCACTCACTCACTCACTCTATAAACACAGTTTTAAAACCCAATAACATAAATATAAGCACAACTGTTTGCGATCGTCTAATAAGCATCCTTCTTCACACTAAATATCACTATAAAATTCTCTCATATAGTGAATCATTTTTACCTCTGCCCAAAAGCTGGTTTATGAGCAATAACCTGTTTTCCTCACATCAGCTGATATATATGTAACAATATTAATTTTATTTCAGAGGTCACTGCACGAGGGCCCCCGACAGAGGAAGTAGGCCTGCGGGCCTATCAGCGACATTATGAAACGACTGTACACGGAAGAGCAAGAGTGAGTGCTTTAGCTGCTAGTTGTGAGTAGGGACGTTTGTGAGGGCTTACTGTACAGAGGACCAGTTAGTGGTTTAGGTTATACCGCTGATCAAGGATAATAGCGTCATGAGAAGGCTTGAGGAGGAATACAATGAGTGAGTGTACATTTTCTTACTTGACAGGAAACTGTAGCTTGAGTTCTAATTAGACGACCTGTGTGGATGACTAGCATGCATTTTGAGTTGGGACGAAGGAAAATTGTACATGTGAATAGTTTCAATAGTATTCAGCTTTCTGAATGAGGATATTATTTTTATCATGATTGCAGTATTCGTGAAACTAGATAGAAGTATTTAAGCATGTGCATGGGTAAATGTGTCCTTTGATGGGACATTGTTCAATTACTATTGAAAGCAGTACTGCATGGTTCATCATTACTGCATGTATTTATGTATCGATATAATAGGACATGCAGCTTTACCTGTTTGTGAACATCAGGCGTTATGACGGATTTTTGGTGAAAATTAGGACATTTTCACAGACAATTTAACGTTTACGTCCGATGGGGTCGGGGAAAGAGTTACATGTTTTACTAACCAGGGAGACACACTGAACCCTGCTTCAAACTTATCCGTACACCCCACAGAGCACCTCATGGCATACACGATAAATACCGACCTATATCTATGTAAAAATATACCGTTACATTTCATTTAGCTCCACTGTTATATTAAGACAAGACTTGGGTCATCAACCCACATCGAATGTTACAGGATGGTGTGTCATTCGTTCTTAATGTTATACATATTAGACACGGATGTCATCTGAATATTGAAGAATAAAGATATTAAATGAAACAGGATGCTTCCACTCTAGCCTGTCCCCAGTAAGTCAACCAAATCATTCCCCTTCCTTCTCACCTTTTCTGTAATGCTAGGGCTTGAAATGAAGCAAGTCTTAGATTGTTCATAGGTTCAGTATCTTACTAAGAAACATGTTTGTTGTAAACGTAACGGCCTGCTCCTATTAAAAATGTCTGTAAAGACCGAGGGTAAGTCTATGACACCAGGTCAGGACCGATGTATTTTGGTCACAATAGGTCGACACTGTAGGCTGTTATTTCCGACCTGCAGTGGATTCAGTAACAGGTTCAAGAGTCTATGTCCTATTACTTCCTTCACATTTTTCCAACGAGTGGCCTATTTTATTTTGACAGAGTTACCTCAGCAGTAGCTATACTGCAATATCAAATGTTTTTGACGTTGATAAAACATGGGCGAAATTCATGCTTATCTTATCCAAATATCTTAAGTCTAAATTCAATGACAGTGAATGGTATGTGGTCATATGTTTAGCACAGTTACCATTTGTGCATATATAGGGCCACTCTACTATTTGTGTGAAGTTACGGTGCCCCTATCGTGAATATGAAACGACGTATGCGCATATATGAGTAGTTATCTCCCTTTTATATTTCGTAACAGTAAGGTTGAGTCTGTAAAACCGTTGGGACGCCACTCGTCAAAGTGGATCTCCCGCACAAACCTGACTAGTGTGTCATCCTGATCTTATCACGTTACATTATAATCCGTTAAAAACACACTGCTCGTCAAAAATAGTCTACACCAATGTTTGATGGTGGCTTAGATTGCTAAAACAAGCAACGGTTATTCAGCGGTGATGTATTGATAGGGCAACTAAGCTATATTTATTACGTTTAAAGTGTTTTACTCCAATAAGGTTCTGATAACGTTTTCAATATTTTCACAAGTCTGATTTTCAGGTGTATATAATTATCTCTATTGCCCGGAAGTGTACAATAGTTTACAGCCTCAGGAGTATTCAAATTGGAGTATTGTTATTGCCCCAAAGCTATATTTCAACCTGAGGCTCCAGAACGACAGTGTAAAATCTATTACTTCTGCGAACAAATTATACGGTTATTCTAAATGGAAAGCCATTAGATGTCTTTGTAATACGCTTGTGTTTTTTATTCCATCTCATCTTGTCCAGTATATAAAATCACAGTGCTGAATAAATGAAATCCACAAAGTTATGTGCTGCTATTGCTCTACGCGTGAACGTCCAGGATCTGGCCCACTAGACGTTATGCTATATCAGATCCCAGCAGTCGTACATGCAACCCAAGACTTCCCACTGTGATCCATCAGGCCATGCCTCCCTAGGACTAACCTACGTAACAGTGAAACCATATACCCAAACGTGTCTCTGGTCATTTGACGTAACCCCTTACTCAGTGGAGTACAGAAGCATCCTGCTGTAACACTATCTGGCGGAATCCTTTCTTCTTGAAGTCCGTGTGGATATAATCGCTTCAAAAGAGCAAAGGATCACGCTATCTTAGCTGTGTCTACTGTGACCGCTGTGACGATTATTCGCCCAGTACCAAGATTTTTAGGTGACCGCTGCGTTTCACAACCACGGCTTACCTTCATGTTTGATGACCTCCTGTTGTATTCAATGCCCGCTGTGTTCCATGTGTCTGAATGGCATGTGTGTCTTGGTATTGTCTCTGTCGTTTTTTGGGTCTGTGCTAGGAAACGTGCATCTATCGTCTGCTGTGCATGTGCCATAAAACGTGCATGTGAAGCTTTTGTCTGTTCTGTTTGTATCATTAACCTTTAATGATGTCGTCTGCAAGGCTTGTACCATACGATACTGTCGTCTTCTGTGTATCATAAACTGTGTGTATGTGTTTGCGTGCGTGAGAGTGTACGCGCGCGTGTGTGTGATATTATCATCTGGTGTGTCTTTACTATGTGTGACACTGTCGTCTGCAGTGTATCACAAACCGCGTGTGTGCGTGCGTGCGTGCGTGCGTGCGTAGATGCTGTAATTATCTGATATGTCTTTATAATGTCTGACACTGTCGTCTGCTGTTCATCATTAACCATGTGTGCGTGCTATTATCAGTTGCTGTGTCTGTACCATGTACCATGTGTGATACCGTCGTCTGCAGAACTCTACCATGAACCGAGTTTGATAATGTCGTCTGCTTCCTGCAGGGCCCCGTATGATGAGTTGGAGGTGGCCGAGGAGCCTCCGCCCATGCTAAACAAGGCACAATGCATCTTACTCAACATGACCTCGTTTGGCATCAACTTCATGGTGCTACTTCTTAGCGTCGAAGGTATCTTAAAATTAATTGTAATTCGTTAAAAAAACAAAACAACATGAAATAATATATACTCATGGAAATGAAAAAGGGAACACATGAAAGTACAAGTGTTCCTTTATTCTTTTCCAGAATTTCACCCACAGTGCAGTACAAAGCTTGTGAAGAAACCCGGATAAGAATAAAGGAACACTTGTACTTTCATGTGTTCCCTTATTTGTTTCCATGAGTATACATCTTCATTAGGCCATATAATGACCTTCCATTTTGAAATGGATGTTCATGAACGGTGAACATTTGGGTAGCCTAGTGGCCTTGGTTCCCAATGCCGAAAGCCAAAGAACTTGTACTCTCAGAAATTTAGTGCTTTATATGATAATGTACCCTGACATGACTTTGAACTGATCAGAAACAGCGTAAAACCAGTCACTAACTCTAATACCTAGTTGGAAATACGATTGTATGTTTTAGAAAATCCAACAAACACTGTCATAAATCACGACGTGTAACATATAGAAAGCCACGACTTTGATATTGAAATAATTTTAAGTAGCATGAAGAGATATCTATCTGATCGTCATGCTTATCAAACTAAAGTTTGAACATGTCTGATATGGCAATGGAATTTCAACACACGATGGGATATCACTTGATATTCTAAAATAATTATTGTCAAATAATAATCCCAATCACCATATACATAGATACATGTATATACATACATACACCGTGTACATCAGCATGTGGCTCCTTTCAGTGATCCCGGCTCAGGTGGAGGCGCTGGTGGGCGATGGGGCTAAGGGCAGCACATTCGGAGGCATGGTTGCCGGGGGAGCAGGTATGGCAACAACAAACTGATTATACTTCTTTAAAGTGCATTGTTTTAATGGAAAAGGAGGGTGGATTATATAAATGACAGCATTTATTGCTCAGACAGATTTCGGGCACAGAACAAATTTGTAATATTTTTGTTCATTACCAATTCTCAGATATAGTCGATTTAAACTGAGAGTGTTTATCTTGTATAACCATTGTAGAACTTTGATGAATCTACGGTCCTTTATAGCTTGTGTTTCGGTTCCAAATCCGAAGGTTAAGTATGTCCCACTCTCCCTTCCTTACGTCAGAGTTGACGATAATAGCTCAGTCTGGAGTATTGCAAACTGCGGAGTTGAACAACATTCAACTATACCTGACCATAATGGCGTGTTAATACAAGAAACTGACCCTTCGTATATGACATTGGAAAGAAAATGAATTCCGAGGAACGATTAATTAATACTATTTGACTTGATAGTCGCATGAGCTTGTCATTTATCTTTTGAATGACAAGAATGCGTGTAAACAATATGTTACGACCGGGATGACATTTGGATTAATGGTCTAAAATGCTTTGACCTTGTGTTCCAGCCTTGACCTTCTTCGTGAGCCCTGTTGTGGGGATGGTGAGTGACCGGCTGACGTACAAGCTGGGCAAGAGGCGACCTGTCATGATCATCGGAACCATCATCCTCTGGTAGGATCAGCACAGATAATCATAATGATAATATTATCATAATAATCTCCCTTTGCGTATTTCGAGCCAGAGCACGTCCACGCAAGCTTTACGCGTAAGAGACAAATAACGGATCAGGGTCCCGATCCACAAAACGTTCGTAGCGCTACGACATTCTTAAGTCTATGATAAACTATGGAGTTACGACAGGTCGTAACGTTACGAACGCTTTGTGGGTCGGGACCCAGGCTCGGTGCTTTGGTTGGTAGTGAGTGGTCGAACCCTTACGGAGTGGTACCGTGCTCATGATATTAATCACTAGTTTGTCTTGTCAAAACCTGATTATATATATCTTAAATATTGTTAAGCGCGCCTTTGAACAACTCACATACGATCAAAATAAGTTGTTGTCTTAAAGAGAAATGATAACACATTTCCGCGTACAAAAGCACCGTCGGTATCTAGTAGCAAAATAGCTTCAGTTTGTTTCGAAATAGCGACAGAGAAATATCAGTGAGATGACATGATGTGTCATGGTGAGCGAATGGATAGGGTTGGATATTGTAAAATTTAGTGGTACAGGTCTGATCCATTTAGTGTTCCTGTGACTGTCTAAGTGCACATATATCCTAGTTAGATATTTACATACTACACTGTCTAATTCCAAAACGCATATTCCAAGAAAATACAAAAGGTCTTTGCCAGTGAGCAGCTAGGTTCAATTATCCCCCGACAAGATTCTTTTAGATGTAAAAGGCAAAAGAGCAGTGAAACTTATATGACTAGATCATTGGAAAAACGTGATGACACCAGGTGTTCGCGGAAGAAGCAAGCATGTCCCTGCTTATTGGTAGCGCCTGACATTCACACGGTATGTATAAAAATGCATGCGTTTGTTGCCTATTGCGGTACACCTGCCTAAAGACGGCGACATGTTCCCCTGCCAACACATATAAACAGACGGCGACATGTTCCCCTGCCAACACATATAAACAGACGGCAACATGTTCCCCTGCCAACACATATAAACAGACGGCGACATGTTCCCCTGCCAACACATATAAACAGACGGCGATGCCAACACATATAAACAGACGGCGACATGTTCCCCTGCCAACACATATAAACAGACGGCGACATGTTCCCCTGCCAACACATATAAACAGACGGCGACATGTTCCCCTGCCAACACATATTAACAGACGGCGACATGTTCCCCTGCCAACACATATAAACAGACGGCGACATGTTCCCCTGCCAACACATATTAACAGACGGCGACATGTTCCCCTGCCAACACATATAAACAGACGGCGACATGTTCCCCTGCCAACACATATAAACAGACGGCGACATGTTATGCCAACACATACAGACAGGCGACAACATGTTCCCCTGCCAACACATATAAACAGACGGCGACATGTTCCCTGCCAACACATATAAACAGACGGCGACATGTTCCCCTGCCAACACATATAAACAGACGGCGACATGTTCCCCTGCCAACACATATTAACAGACGGCGACATGTTCCCCTGCCAACACATATAAACAGACGGCGACATGTTCCCCTGCCAACACATATTAACAGACGGGCGACATGTAAACAGACGGCGACATGCCAACACAAACAGACGGCGACATGTTCCCATGCCAACACATATAAACAGACGGCGACATGCTCCCCTGCCAACACATATAAACAGACGGCGACACGTTCCCCTGCCAACACATATTAACAGACGGCGACATGTTCCCCTGCCAACACATATAAACAGACGGCGACATGTTCCCCTGCCAACACATATTAACAGACGGCAACATGTTCCCCTGCCAATAAACCAGACAACGCACAGAACAGTTCTCGTATACTGTAAATATAATCATTTATCCTAGAAAACCCAGTGTTTGTGTATAATACTAACTAACCTACATAACGTGAAACACTAGATCAATACGTGTAGGCGTGCGACAAGGCTAACTGCTGAAACCAGTTCCGGAAATTAAACATTTACGGTAACTAGGAAATTAATCGATTATTGGCAATTCCCTGGGGACAGATAAAGATGAACAAAACCCCGATTGGACTGTAATCTGCCGCCTGGTTACCTCGTGAAGGTCTTGTTGGTTGATATCATGTGACCTTGGTTACAGAGACATTACATGACGGCTTGACTGCCGACTTTTCCGTTTTTGCTCATGTTTCAGTTTCTGAAGCTAATTATGACAGCCGGTTTATCCATATGACAGGTCACTGGTCACATTAGTCCCTGTGTATAGGATTTCTTGGATCATGTTAATTTACGTGGTTGCCTGTTTGTACCAGAGTAAATCTATGCTTTTATTCCACGTTGGTAAAGTTAAGCACTGGTTTGTAAACATTTAGATATATAAAATGAGACTCCTTCAGAGCGGCGGGGTAGCTTAATGGTTAGGGCGTCCGCTCGTCAAGCTGAAGACCCGGGTTCGATTCCCTACATGGGTACAATGTGTGAGGCCCATTTCTGGTGTCCTCCGCCGTGATATTGCTGGAATATTGCTAAAAGCAGCATAAAGCCATACTCACTCACTCACTCAGAGCCGTAGATATATAATCATTGACTACATCGACGTTTTAGCATCGAACACCCATATCGACGTTAGGCATGGTTCAGGTTTACCTACCATGTACATACATGCTCAGACTTCTTTTTGCTTTTATGATGATCTGTGTAAGATTTTCTCATGCTACTTCAAACGCTGGTTTTTATTAGTATCAAGCAAAGCTATCGCACAATGTTTCGAAGTGAAAGGGCCATAGTCCAATATAAACACATGAAGGATATTCTTCTGCACTAAACACATGTTACAAAACAGTGTGTCTAAAATGAATAGAAATAATATACACCTGTCATATTCTGAACATATAGGAAAACAATATTATTCAATACTGTGAAGCGAGACAATATATACTCATGCCAATAATGGTTGTCACCCCTTTCAATTTTTTTATTGAGAGGGGTGGGGGTTGGGGTGGGGAGGGGTGACAACCATTATTGGCATGAGTATATTCCATACACGTGATTCCACGTACTAATAAACATTATTGTGCACTAAACATATTTCATAAACCAGTGTCTCCAACATGAATAGAAATAATATATAACTGCCATATATGATGACATTAGAAAAAATATATTACCATGTGAAGCGAGTCAACACCTTCCATACACGTGAGTCAAGGTACTAATAAACATTCTGTGTGGGGAAAGATAAGTACTTATTAATTGTTAGGGGAGATGTTGCTTTATATTGAATGGGGGACACATTTTTATTTTACATTTTCAATCACTGTAATAAAACGGGAGTCCGACTATAATCATGAGCACCATCATAACAGTACGGACACCAGGTGTTCGTTAATAGTTCACTCTCTACAAACACGTGCGAACGCAAGTCAATTGTTCATCTATACAATTACTGCTATTCCATGTCAATTGTGGAAGAGTGTGTGTGTATTTAGTTTTACGCTCCTTTAACAATATTCCAGCAATATCACGACGGGAGACATCAGAAATAGGCCTCATATGTTGTACCCATGTGGGGAATCGAACCCAGGTCTTCGGCGTGACGAGCGTACGCTTTAACCACTAGGCCACCCAACCACCTCCCAATTGTGGAAGACACGTCGATAAGAGAAATGTTTACGATCACTCAAGATAAAAAGTGAAGCTCCAGGCTGAACACAAACTGTATTTAAAAGTATCGTGACTTATGTGTGACTTAGCTTTGTCACGCAACATGTTGAGAGTAAGAGAAGGTCAGAGAGAATGAAACCGTGAAAATAGAATTAAGTGCCATGTGTTTCTTGCCTGTGGCATATGATCGTCAGCACCTGGAACACTAAAATATTCTTGCACGTATATTTTCAAAGAAGCAGGTATAATAAAATGATGGCTGTACTGACCTGCTGTGAACTTGTTTCATTCAATATAGGTAACCTGGCTCCAACGGCAGAAGAATGATGCTTTGTATTTATTTATAGTGTAATCGAGCAATCAAAATAATAACGCTTTAGTAATCAATATGCAATCATGCCGATTTATACAGAGATACCGTAAGGTGAAGCTTCGTGCTATTTCCGCCTTTCATGCCCGATGGGAACTGTTATGATGATGATTAGGACAGAGATTATTCTCACCTTTTAAGAGAATGTACAGCAGGGTGCCTCCGTATTCTGTCGAGTGTTCGGGTATTCTATATCTGTTGTATTAACAGCTGTGAACTCTTATTGATTTTATCCCGCTGAATATGCAGGTGTTAGGTTTCATAAATACATTGGATGGACATATTTGCCGTCAAATATTTACCTTAAGCAAAATTGAATTTAATCGTTTGAAACAAAACTTGATATTGTATACTTGCTTAATGCTACCCGTGGTGGTGTTCACTGCTACCTCGTTATTCCGACGTAATGATATGTTGATCGTGAAATGTAATATTATTCTGGACGTGTTCACTTAAATACTGTCCCTATTCACGGGGTTCACTGTATGTAAGGGTTATATATGTTGAGACTAAAGTTCAGGTGAATTGTCTCTACAACGTGTGTTTGATTGATTTCAGTTTTGGCCTGATTGGCATGGCCTTTAGCGCCCCACAGGTTGACGTGTAAGTATATGACCATATATCATATAATAAGATGGAGAAAACCGCCCTAGCTTATCTAAACCGATTTTGCATGTTATATATTAACATAAGTCATAGCGCGTACTAAATCCTTGTAAGAATGAAATGCTATAACGTGCATTCTCGTACGTTTGGCATATTTAGTGTTTCTAAAGGTCGAAATCGCGAGAATGCGAGAACAAGATTATGACCCGAAAGGAGTTCCATATGGAACTCAGGCTTCTGTACTTAATACTGATAACTGTGCTAAATAACTTTGTGATGACGCTCCTACAGTCCTTTATATGTTTTCATTTATATAGACGCATGTATATATTTACATTAAATGTGCTTATTTTTCAGGCCCCACAGGGACACTAAGGGGTTACTTGGCAACACAAGTCGCATGGTAAATATACCAAACATCCGATACCTGTAAGGAGCTAGATGGCTCATTGCCCCATGCCCCATCTCTCGGCACACAATAAAATAATCCGCTTTTGGGCGTCTTTGTCCTAGATATTTCTTTATCGGGATCTTAATCCATATTGTCATCCTTACGGTGATGATATGTGAACAAATGTAGATGTTGATATAAAATCCAAAGTCTAAAGCATATGTTATTGTTTTATTGGTCATTATAATATCGACCCAGTCTTCAGAATGGGTTAGGTTATATTCCGCAAGCATTGCTCAAGGATAGGAAATATTTCCATTCATAAAACCTTTTTAACAGTTTCAGCGACAGTCGTTAGTTTTGTTGTAAGCAATTGTCTCATCAATGAAAGCTACCACCTAAATTTAGGACCTAACCAACAGGAGAGCCGAGATACCAGATTCCGGTTTAGAGAGCGTTAATTACTGTACAAACAGTCAATTGAGCGGTCTTTGTTGTGCCGAAATACGGAATAGACTGACGCCGGATTAGAGGGCGTGTAAATGATCATAAATTAAGTAGCTTCTGCCGGGACCAAATTCTAGTGCAGTTATTGAGAGCATGGAGGCCTGCCGGTTTAGAGGTCTTCCACTGTACGTATAATGGTGCCGTTATTGAGAGCATGGAGGCCTGCCGGTTTAGAGGTCTTCCACTGTACATATAATGGTGCCGTTATTGAGAGCATGGAGGCCTGCCGGTTTAGAGGTCTTCCACTGTACATATAATGCACGCAGCTATATCGGAGGATGTAGCACATTAAACTGATGTGATTATCGCCCAAAGTATTTCTTATGCTTATGGAAAGGATTGTGTCGCTTCCATTTAGATAAGAATTAATAGAAAGTGTATGGAGTTACAGAGTTACAGATTTGATTTGTTGATAATGTAATATTTATATTCTCCAATAACCCCGTGGTATGGTGTATTTGTACCTTCCTACAGTGTCAGCTGGACTTGGTGAAGGAGAGGTGCGCCCCCTACATGAACAAGTCTATACCTGCCAAGGACTTCACCAATCCTGCTCAGTCTGGCATCGTCGCAGACAAGAAGTCACTTACGGAACCTGTCGTCGCAGAGAAACCTGGAAACTTGGGTAAACCAAATAGTTATTATGGAACAACTTAAAAAAGAGCATCTTTTAAACTGCGAGGTTCTGAGCTAACTAGATGCAGTTCATAACTAATCGTAAATCACCGTCCATCTTTACATTGTATCAAAAGAAGATTGTTGTAGTAAGCGCCAAGCCAACTTCTACATTGGCATCAGGTGCGCGAGGTTACTCCACTGCTCATGAATCATACCTGTTTAGTGAAATATAAAGGATAATGGAGAGAGACAGCTTCTACTGAACTTACCTTTGTTATAATGAACCAATTTAAGGCACATTTTGCAGAAGTATATGCAAACCTCAGTTTTGTCACGTCCATAAATAATGTTGTACTTTATACAAACACTTTGTTTAAGGAACTGTAGCCATAGAAGAAACCTAGCATCCTAATTGGCTTATTTTCAGTGTATCATCTGGCTCTTGATATTGATCAAGACGTTCAATTGTATTTTGCATTAAAACAATATTTTCAGTGTGTTTTAAGGAAAGCATGTGAAACAAATATGGTCTGTTTTTACAGACTTTGAATGTTATACAATTGAACAGAGAATACCAGTAAAATACACATAGGCGATCCATTGGATGTCCACTCTATTTAGCAATACGCATACTTTTGTGTTCGTAAAGAATTATCCTCATATAGGAATTTTCCAGGTATATATTGTTGGCATTTTGTAGGAGATACAACTGAAAACTGGAATTTTGTTGTATGTTTCAGGGTTGTACATTACATTCTTCCTGATGGTCATCTGCGCACAGGCGGCTGTCACTGTCCCCTTCAACGCCCTGGTGGCGGACAAGTCCCACCCCACACAGAGAGGTCAGTCGGGAGCTTCTCCCCCAGAACGGCGGTTCACAGGGTTACAAGAATTCTTATGCTCCTTGGTTGATTTACAGGACAACAGAATCTCACACTTAAGTCCTTTGATGTCAAATATATCAACACATTTTGAGAAAGTTAAAAACGTCGAGGCTTGGCGAGGATTTTAATATTTTAGCGATGTGTGTTGATATGTCTAATATCAAAAGACAAAATGGTGGGATTTTAATAATCATGCGAAAACATTCTTCCAACATTTTCAGCTTTTAAATCGTTATGACCAGTGTCTGGAGTATGAAAAGTACAGCTAATGAACTTCACTGTGAGATCAGTGATGTCATTTGATTGTGTCGTGATGTCATTTGATTGTGTCATGATGTCATTTGATTGTGTCATGATTTCATTTGATTGTGTCGTGGTAATCGATAACGTCACAATTGTCTGTAAAGCATTCTCAAGTTGTATCTCTGAGGAGACATTGCTTGATGCCACCAAAGTAATTTCTCCCACGGATGATGATATAAATTATATATAAATATAGGTAAATGCAAACTTCAAATTGTATTAAATGTTGTTCAGGTTTTAACTCTGGTGTGATGGGCGCGATGATCTTGCTGGGAAATGTGAGCGGTGCAGCGGCCGGACTCAGTTTCACGGTAATCATACATGATTCTATACAGACAGATAGTCACACTGGTCATACTGAAGGCTTGCACTTCATGATGATGACACTGCTTCTATGGTCTAATGGACAGAGCGTATGGGGGGAGAGCTGATGTTAGGTGGTTCGATCCACGGCCACGTCCAAGACTTTAGAAGCTGGTACTTGTCGTTACTCTGTCTAAGGCATAAAACAGGGACTTGTTGGTCTGGAGTCAGTGTACCGTGTTTGAGCGGAGTATCCATGTTCAACTGCAGTACACGTGTATGCAGGTCGATAAATAAGTGCAATAATTTTGAACCGGACGTTGAATCCAAATTTGATCTCATTTCATGTCACAATAAAAATACACAGAACACAAGGTCGTCGTGACGAAATACGTACCTATTTTACCAACAATTCACCCATATTATCAAACTTGCCATTTTAGATATGGTATATGCAGTGATGTCGATATTTGAAATGTTAACGTATACAAGTTTTCAATGTTGAAATAACTGCTGCCGGTGTGTAATGTAATAAGGGAAATAACTCTTGCAGCATATCGGCGTGATCGGGATATACGGCCTGATCCTGGGGATCCTGGTGTTGTGTGTCACGGTGACGGTCGTGTCTACCAAGGAGTACCGGACCAAGGAGGAGCTGGAGCTACAACCACTGGGTAATGACCGCACTGCTGTACATCTACATCAAGTACCATTTTATTCATGTGATTCGGGATGAGCGGATAAATCCCACTCTATCTGAAGCGCACGTATAATAATTACTTTTATCATCATATTGATAATTCATTGTTTTCATGTGACATTTCTTTACTGGACTTTTTTTTTAACAGGATGCAAGCTTATATTCTGTGGATTCTGGGAACCATTGAAAGGTGAGATTGCGAGATATCGTTTGAGACGTTATCACCGTTATATGTGCTCGTGTGGCATATCCTGTGATATAATTTTTTATATATTGTATATTTTCTATAAAAATTATTAAAAGGTTGGACGTTGTAAAATTAATATTATGTTCGAGCGTGTTTACTTTTTCAGAGCATGATTTCCGATGGGTCTTTATAACGAGGTTCCTCATGCAGCAGGGCGTGGCTACCGTCACTGGGTGAGTGTTAAACACGGGACAGGTGTAACGTTTATCTGGTGTTTTTAGAGTTGTTGCAGCGGAGACAGGACACCTCATTTTACCATTGTAGTTGCTCCTTGGTGCTTGCTGCCGGAGTAGGTCTTAATCAATGCACTGGGGTGGACAGATTACGTGATAATGAGTGGGCCAAGTATTAGGATAGTCAGTGCCCGGATTACGTGATAATGAATGGGCCAAGTATTAGGATAGTCAGTGGACGGATTACGGGATAATGAATGGGCCAAGTATTAGGATAGTCAGTGCAAGTATTAGGATAGTCAGTGGACAGATTACGTGATAATGAGTGGACCAAGTATTATGATAGTCAGTGCAAGTATTAGGATAGTCAGTGGACATATTACGTGATAACAAATGGGCCAAGTATTAAGATAGTCAGTGGACAGATTACATGGTAATGAATGAGACAAGTATTAGCTAAGTCTGATTACCTGATGATGTGTAGGGAAAGTGTGTGAAATGTGTATATTTGGCAGAACATTCCATGACACGTCTTTATGGAATAGTTCATATAAAATCGTAATAGTAAACTGGCTGTGTCATTCTATCAGAATTTGAAAAGGGTTCCTTATAACGTCATGTTTAGTGGTCATAATAGCAGTCACTGAAATGTCTGTCCACCATCACATAGCAGCAACACTGCTGACTGTAAGGTTAAACAAAAAATATAATGACAGAATTAGAATTAAATGTCTGTCTTCAGATTCCTGGAGTACTGGCTGGGCGACATGATACCACTGCCCAACTGCTGGACCGCCGCTACTTCTGTGTCTCTCATGTTGCTCCCGATGCTCTTCGCTGCTGCTTTCAGGTGACTAACCTTGATGTCAGATCTCCCAGATTGTCATATATAGAAGCTCTAGGTCCTGCTGAATCTACACAGAGGTCTCACGTCATTGTTTTATCGCGGTTGGGTTAATATATACACAGTTTTAATTAATTGTAGAACACCGGTGTCGTGTGCAGAAAGGGAAATCTTCTGTAGCGTAGTAAGGTCACGTGTTATAATTAACAATAACAGGCATACTCTGGTATAATGTTAGAGGGATTTGTTGTTATGATCTATGGTCAAAATTGCTCTTAACCTATGGTTGATATGATAGCAATTATATAGCTAAATGAGGTTGCTTCTTTTTCAGTTCTGTAATATTTGGAATAATATCAGACAGAACAAACAGACGGAAAAGTATAGTGACAATTGCAGGTAAGTCTTACAACCCACCTCGTAACCTTGTCACCTCGTCACGCCATTTTATTCCATGTCATGCACGAAAGTAGGTCAGTGGTGACGTCCATACATGTGAAGACGATCATTGACACTATCCTGTTTATGTTTCCATAACTTTCACGGTATAATGATGGACGCTTCGACGATCACTGACACTATCCTATTTATGTTTCCATAACTTACACGGTATAATGATGGACGCTTCGACGATCATTGACACTGTCCTATTTATGTTTCCATAATTTAGACAGTATAATGATGGACGCTTCGACGATCATTGACACTATCCTATTTATGTTTCCACGGTATAATGATGGACGCCTCTCCGCAGCATAACAAGTGAAAATTTAGAATTTTTGATAATTGTAATGACAGGGTTTGGACAAGTAAAAAACTGATACCTATCCCAGTGTCTTTATTGCACTTCATTAACAGTCTTGACTTTGAACTGGTTAAGTAAGGCTAAATGGAGGCCGAAACGTCATGAGGAAATCTAACTACAAGCAAGTCCGTGACCGATGAATATTTTACTACTTATCCTTTGCTACGTCAGGGTTATCGTCAACTTTTAGAAAATATATTCCTGATAAAAACCCTGAAATCAAGGTTTTGGACAAAGTTTAAACTCACATAAAGTCCAAAACATGAATGTCGTGAAGTGTAAATTCTCATTGAAATGATGAAATCTGCCTACTTATTTAAAAAACGTATGTGATACTTTTTCAAAGGATGACGATAAAGGTCAGATTAACCCTGCAGTGCCTTCAATATATACATGGTGTGGAGTAACACGTTGCCTTTCTGAACATAACTGAGGTGTCATGTATGTGTGTTTCCTGTTCAGCCGTAGTGATGGGATGCTGCGCCCTGACCGACGCCTTCCTCAGAGGGAACTACGCCTTCTACATCGCCGTTGCCATGGCATTTGTGTTCGGTAGGTAGAACATGACGTTATTACCCTGTAGCACCGTGTAAACATATGTTCTGGTTATAACCTACTCACCTGCGTGTCCAAGGAACATGAACATTTTATTCTCAAATTTAGAAATGCATAAATATTATTTTCTTATATTAGTGGAAAGAATACAGAGCTCGTTAAGACCAAGACAGGGAACAGAGCAAGGATACATATTCGTCATCGTTCTTAATGTGTATACTGAAACTTCTCCTACGTATATGAATGCATACCATATTATCGACATCAACATCTCAGACATACTGTAGTTAATCACTGATGTCGTTAGTACTATCTTCTTTTCTTCTTTCTCCGTGTAGACTTAGTATGAATATGTAGAATACAGAGAAATCAGTGTTTCTGTGTTTCTGATGTCTATACAGGAGTTGTATGGAATCATATACGGTGACGCAAGAAGTGCAGTATATTCTATGGTGACTATATGATAGAATTTGGATTATAATATCAAACCAGAGTGTCTTGAAACTATGCAGCTGGAAAAGGGTTAACCGCATTATAAAAATTAAGAACGTAAGAATATAAGGTTTTTATGTATAGAGCGTTCGTGCAAGGTGTGGCACAAAATCTCCATTTCCCCCGCTTATCATATGGCACCATCCGCAGAGGGCATCGGATATTCATATTGGTCACCTTAGTATGTAATGAGTCAATCTTGACCACAAGGAAATGTCAATTTTCACCTGCGGCCTTGCCAGGTGTATGTTATCGTACCAGTCATCCAGAATCTATGTGGACGTCTTTGACCACTTTTGATTATACTGCCACAGGATTTATCTCCCCTTTGTAACTGATTTTCATTTATCCATTATTATAATTGTTCCAGCTATTTTTCCTTTAACGCCCACTGGAATCCGTTTCGGCGGTTAATCCTAACTCGTTACTCTCTGGCTTTGGCGTGTAATATTTACACGCCATCATATAATACCGCTATTGCTTGCATTTGAAAAGCCTCATTAATGTGTGTATGTTAAATGTTACCAATTTGTTTGTAGGAACCGGATTCGGAGCGTTCCAGTCCGTGGACTTCGCCCTCGTGATGGACGTTCTCCCGGAAGAAAAGGACAAGGCCAAGGACATTGCTGTGTGGCACTTGGCCCTCATCCTCCCCCAGGTCCTGGCCACGCCTGTCGGTGGAGTCGTACTGGACATATTTGAGAGGGTCAACTGTGAGATCGGGCTCGGTTATATCATTGTATTCGTAATGACTTCCTTTTACTTCCTGCTGAGTGGACTGTTTGTCTTCAAAATACGAAGAGCAAAGTAGAAGTCTTGAATCTGGATATCATTCACCTGTGGATGGATTGCATGGGATGTTACAGTGTTTGTCTTATACCATTGTTAGTCACAGTGTCTAATATGTTTGAGGCCACTAATTGCATGTCATTGTAAACATATACTCCAACCTATGGTGTGCCAGGGTTCTACTCATATGTCATGACATCAGTTGTGGTTGGTGTCGTACGTACCAAACCTGTGAATGTAACGGTTTTATATGAAGCCTTGACTGGATATTCCCGCAGCTATGAGAAACACAGGGAGATCATTTTTAAATGTGACAGCTTTGTCGATTTTTATGTGATAGTCTTTATTGATGTATGATCCTTCATGTATGCACGGCGTTTCATGTTTTAAATCAAATCAGTATCTCCATCAAGTTATCGATAGAAGCCAGGGATTGCCAGTGTCTGCTCCGTAGCATATGGCCAGGTTAACGGAATTTACCTTTAGTTTAATTAAATTAAATTAAATTTAATTAAATTAAAATTATTGAATCACATTATTCAATATTCGTTTCAATACTCTTCGTGTAAATTATTTTCATATCTGTTAAGATATAAGTGATTCTGAAAACGTACACAATATGTTAATTGATGATCGATGAGTTTACAGGTTCGAACATCTGTGTGGATAATTCCAAATAGACAGCTTTCGCCTCCTTGCATCAAATCACGTTCCTCGCGTCTCACTCCATGCCCAAAGATAGCTGTAGTATTGAAACAAGGCGGGGACACATTGTAACCTTAGCAACGCTGGCACAGTGCCCTGGTGTTGGGGATAATCCGGGTTTTTAGTGGAAGTCGTGGGAATGATATTGAAATCTGTTGTCATGTGTAGTGCTTTTTTGAACTAATATGCTTTTATGTATATCTGTGTCAAGACATTCAGAACGCTGTACAAAGTATTTTATTTGTTAGTGGCTTTACGATGATCTCTCACCGCGTGGCTATTCTAAAATTAACACTATTTTGTTTTTAAATAATTTTCAACGAGTGCTTACTAGCAAGTACTTTGCAAGAGTTGGTTACATCATACACACCTCCTGTCATTTTCTGGATGATGTTTCAGCATAATGTTAACGTTATATGAAGGGCATTTGTCGGGAATATTGTGAGCTACAAGGATAAACTAGTTGGAGAATGTCGATATAATAGTTTTTTGTGCTATACCGTGGAATTCTTTATGGAAGAGCTAAGAGAACCAAATATCACTATGGGGTGAATCATTGAGGCCTCTATGAAGGGCTAGGAGGACAAAATATCACTATATTGTGAATCATTGAGGTCTCTATGGAAGGGCTAGGAGGACAAAATATCACTATATTGTGAATCATTGAAGTCTCTATGAAGGGCTAGGAGGACAAAATATCACTATATTGTGAATCATTGAAGTCTCTATGAAGGGCTAGGAGGACAAAATATCACTATATTGTGAATCATTGAAGTCTCTATGGAAGGGCTAGGAGGACAAAATATCACCATATTGTGACACTATATTGTGAATCATTGAGGTCTCTATGGAAGGGCTAGGAGGACAAAATATCACTATATTGTGAATCATTGAGGCCTCTATGAAGGGCTAGGAGGACAAAATATCACTATATTGTGAATCATTGAAGTCTCTATGGAAGGGCTAGGAGGACAAAATATCACTATGGGGTGAATCATTGAGGTCTCTATGAAGGGCTAGGAGGACAAAATATCACTATATTGTGAATCATTGAAGTCTCTATGAAGGGCTAGGAGGACAAAATATCACTATATTGTGAATCATTGAGGTCACTATGGAAGGGCTAGGTGGACAAAATATCACTATGGGGTGAATCTTTGAGTTGTCTATGGAAGGGCTAGGAGGACAAAATATCACTATGGGGTGAATCATTGAGGCCTCTATGAAGGGCTAGGAGGACAAAATATCACTATATTGTGAATCATTGAGGTCTCCATGGAAGGGCTAAGATGACAAAATATCACTATATTGTGACACTATATTGTGAATCATTGAGATCTCTATGGAAGGGCTCGGACAAAATATCACTATATTGTGAATCATTGAGGTCTCTAAGGAAGGACTGGAAGGACAAAATCTCACTTTATGCTGAAACATCTCTATGGAAGAGACAGAAGGACAAAAATCACTTTATGCTGAACCATTGAGGCCTCCTTGGAACGGCTTCGAGAACAAAATATCACTATATGGTGAAGCATTCAGGCCTCTATGGAAGGGCTAGGAGGACAAAATATCACTATATGGTGAAGCATTCAGGCCTCTATGGAAGGGCTAGGAGGACAAAATATCACCATATGGTGAAGCATTCAGGCCTCTATGGAAGGTCGAGAAATGACAACTAAAATATATATTGCACTGTATAGCATTTGATAACCTAATATTTACACGTTGTTTAAGGTCGACAATCGACAACGCAGCAGCGTCTTTTGGGTTTCCAAAGGAATTCACACAAGGCACTGTCAACTCTGTACATATCAGCACACTCGTGTTGTCCGAATGAAGTTTTAATACAACGTCATTATGATATTACCCTGATACTTGAGGTGTTGTTTCAAAGACTTGCATGATGTCAGCAAAGTTAACTTCATATAAGCTGAACGTTCTTACTTACTGAAGAAATATTCCGCAGCAGAAGTGTTAATAGTCTGATCATGTTTTTGTCTTTCAAAACAGAATGCCACCTGCACATATAGGATTTGTGTTAATGAGGGTTCTATATAATTAAATTCAATGCTATATGTTTGTATTTGTATAAATATTTTATACATTTATGACCCATCCAAAATTTCGAAACCGTTGGATTTTTGGCACATTATGCAGCTGAGAATGTTTTACTTAAGAAAATGAAATCCATGCATATTCTGTTTTAGTGAAATACAGCTAGGGTTTGCTGATGAAATGGCAAAACTGTCTCAGTATTAAGCTATTGTCTATGTTACACTGTTCCAGTTACATAATCTATTCTTATAATGATAATTGTTACGACTAATATGCCACTCTTTAGAAACACACGAATGTCGTCTTTAGTAGTGAAGGTGTAAGAAGCACTGTTGAATATCTTCAACGAAATGTAGTATTACTGTTTGTGTACATATTGTGTGTGAGGTATTCCCGCTCTAGTGATTTCTGTAATTATCGTATCATTACGATATCTTCATTTCAAATATCAGGATTAATCACTGTATGTTTTCAATTATCATCGAACATATAAATTATAAATACGATATGTTTTCAATTAACATTGAACATATCACGTTTAACAATTAAAACAGCATCATTGGATTTGTGAGACTCCCATTTTCGCGATGCTGCTGCTAAAGTTTATTTGTAAGTCAATCGATGACTACCTGTGATGGTTGACTGGGTCGCACTCATGTCAGCTACCACTAGAGAAGAACAGGATACCTTTTTTAAGAACCTCTAGTTAATGATGTCATTTATTGTGACTCGCATCCTGATTCCAAACCATTGAAGGTCTATAGACGTTTCACTGTATATAGTAAAGGACATGCACACCCGGAAGTTAAATGTATTTTGTTGTCTCTACCTATGGTCACAATATTGTCTCAACAGCTGACGTGTTTGGAACGTTGATGCTATTTGATTTAAATATGCATTATAAATCTTAATATGTCGATGACAACGTGCATGTTACATATGTTCACATTTCTTGACATTGATGTATTTTGCAATAAATACATATATATCACCAGCGACGCCTTGATTTGATCTCATATGACTCTTGTCCTAACATTGTTCGATTGACGCTACAACGTTCATGGTCTCAGTAAAGGTTTCAAGATACTTTACGGTACACCTAAGGAGAATATGCGCATGTATTTTTGGTATTGATTTGCCTTTGAAGGGGAAGGGAGTCTTTGAAGGTTATTCACACCTGCTCATGTGTTACGTGTCGATTTCCAAACCGGAACTACCCGTGAAGATCCGGGTTAGAACTGATCTTCAGTAACCCATGCTTGTCGTAAGAGGCGACAGGTTGTCAGGTTCGCTGACTTGGTTGACACGTCATCGTATCCCAATTGCGTAGATCGATGCTCATGCTGTTGATCACTGAATTGTCTGGTCCAGACTCGATTATTTACAGACCGCCGCCATATGGCTGGAATATTGCTCAGTATGGCGTAAAACTAAACTCAATCACTCACTCGAAACCGGAAATATCCAATCTGCCTATAAAAGGATTCGGTTGGAAACCAACAAACAACTAAGGAATGTTGTGCAATTAACAATTGTATTCTATATTAACACAGTTTACAAACAATGCAGAGGATTACAATGTACAACATAGACCGACAGTATAAATTTAATGGGAGTACCTTAGGCAGTACATTAAATAATTAGTGATTATAGCAAAGACAGTGACAGTAGTTTTCACCTCGCGACAACAGAGGTCAAACTTGCAAAATGGGCCAAGGCTGAGTAATTCCAGGGTGAAAAGTGACCTTCACACTTCTGCTGGTGTTCTTGTAGTGTAAGAGGCAATGAAAGACCAGGAAGGCAATAGTTACACCCCCACACACACCCCCACTTTTTACATTACATAAAAACGCTTGGGCAACTTTCTCTTACTCACTGGACCAGGTCTAGACGACGCTATAATTTTCCGAAAGCTAGAGTAACTAGCAGACGCACTGTTCTTTAAGGCATCTTTGCAGAAACAATGAAAGACAAAAACAACACTGTTCCACAATGAATAACACTGTCACGTAACCATGTAACGTGAGATGCAACGTGAGGTGACAGAGGTAAGAGTGTGTCCATATTTATGTATAGTGTGTGCCATTATATATAGTTTTTGTTCTGGAAACTTCTATAACAATCTTATAAGACTCGAAGTCTTCACATAGTAACTTGCACATGACTGCACTCAACGAAATCATAACAACAACGATGTAATGCAAATACTACACGTTTTCTCACATTATAACACTGCTGCATTACACTTGATGTAGTCTTTCAGAACAGATTGTGGTTTGTCTTCCTCGCGCTTGTTTGAAGTGACGATACTATCATGCCAATAATGTTGCAAACCAACAGAACCTGTCAGTTTCTCCATTAAGCTATTGGCACAACCATTACCTGTGAGTATCTATGATGCAACAGAATGTCAGTTTCTCAAAGCTATTGGCACAACCTGTAAAATAGAATGATTGAGAAGCTATTGTTTTTCATTAGTCAGACATATTCAGGCTATGTCACTGCGGGCGGTGTCGCGAGCAGCTACATATCTATGCCAACAGTGCATGATGACATACATCGGTGTGCCAAAAGTTTATGAACAAATCCCAAATAGTGAGAATCATTTAAAATACAAATTCTTTACTCCACAGGCGACGTACGGTCGTGAAATTGAACAGGATACTAAATTTAACCCTGCTCTTTCGACACGTTACAGTCACAATAAGGTTTGTGTCGTCTGCTTGTTTACGCAGGCGACCTCCGGTAGCATGGGGAAAAAGAGTATTGTCACAGTCTGTTAAAGATTTGATTACTGCGAATTTCCAACAGCACCAAAAATACAGTGAAATTGCCAGGAATCATGGTTTACCTCGGAACACAGTTTACATTGTTGTAAAGCGATTTCTGGATCGTGGAAGATTATAGAGAACTGTTGACAACGTATTGTTTACATCCATACCCGTGAGGACTTGGAGCGAGAGATCCGACACGTGTGGGAAAAAATACCTGTGAACTATATCAGAAACCTGTATTTGTCTATCCCAGGTCGTCTGAGGAAAACAATTGCTGCCAAGGGATACATCCCCAAGTATTAAGGTCAGGTCTTTAATAATTTGGTTGTTACGCGAGTTTGAATTTGCCGCTGCCCTGCGTCTTGCCAGTGACGTCAGCCATGTTTGTTCATAAATATATGGCACACCGCTGTACGTAACAGCAAGACCATCCAATTCTCTATGGTCTGCTCTACGTACACTCATGTTGAATTTGTGTCTCTGGAAATCCCTAAACAGATTATAGAGATAATAGTTTAACAACGATGCCGTGTACTTTTTAGTCATGGGGTAAGATATGTCAGCTTAGATTCTCACTACCTCACACCTGAACACAGATAAATGTTCGTGCACATAAGTAGTAGAACATGTATGAAATGGTAACTGTAAAGGAAATCACAGCAATGAAATTCGCTCAATTCGCCGCACAATTGTGTAAGTAAAGCCAAACGTTATGCTTTTGGGGCGGGGCAAATATATCGCATTTTGATAAAATATTAATTATGGAATAGCTTGATCTAAAACTCGGACCAAACGTTACATGGATTGTGTAAAACTTCGATGTTATTTGGTATGTTTTGGAATTAAATGGAAATATTGTGTGGTTTTAATTGTCAAAACAACATACATTTCACAAACCAATGTGATACCAGGCGACAAGTATTACGATATATATGTGTGTAATTGGGAGTGGATAATTTCAATTCAATAACGAAGATACAGACGAATTTCTAATTTGAGAGGCTTCGGCTTGCTACTCCTGGAGACACATGTTTGCTAGTGGCAAATTGTTTTCGTTGATACGGTTTGGTAGCATTGATTATGTTGATACGGTTTGTCTCAGAAGAGTGTGAAAAGCGAAATATTGCTACACCAGTTTGCTGTTTTGATGGCCAGAGGAGTAGACTCGTATGTAGAAGTCAAGCCGTTAACCATATTGCAACTGCAGAAGGATGTTTATGAAGACTCCAAAAGTACAAAGAAACCATCAATTCTAAAAGATATCGACGTGCGAAATGCCCATCTGGTATCACCTTACCAAGACCTGCTACAGAAAGTAAATCTAGAAGTGCAAACCGCTGTACGAGGTTTAGAGAGTTCAAAGAAATCTTTCGTAATGGCAAAGGATGCATTGGATTCATTGCAGAAGAAAGTTCCTAACACTGGGAATAGCATAGATGATAAAGAGGACGATGATTTCAGTGGAGAAGGAGGTGTAAATATGACCATTGACATCCTCCCAAACAATGTCTTGAGTATGCTTGATGACAAAACTTTGAAGGACTTGCGTGAAGCAGGAGCTATGTAACCTTAGAAAGACAGAGTCCTCGTCTATGGCATCAGGTGAGGATGGACCTGAGGACCTTGTGCCGCCAGATCGTCCCGATACCACAGAGGATCAGGAAAGTGAATCTTTGAGGGCAGTGGTCTCTGATTCTTCGTGAAGCCAAGACAGCACACATGAAGGCAGAAGAGTAGACCAATCTGATATTTTACCACTTCAGAAGTATTTGAATGAGAACTACAAGCCTACACGGAAGAATCATCTCGGCATCAGTGACCTGCAGTTTGTAGAGATATTCAGTTCCCCTCAACGCTTGTCTCAGAAATTAAACAAGAAAGAAATGCAGCTTTGTTTACAACAGTTGGTGGAAAACATCTTAGGAAGACCCATTGTCTGCATCACGACTTGAAGAGGGTTGTGAGTCAAAAGCTGTACAGCAAGAAAAACTAAGTCACGTCAATCACTGAAAGTATTGTGCAAGAAGGCAGTGCAAGTTCCAACAGACCACTCTGAACATTATCTGGGCTCAAGACATCTGCTACCCGATATGCAAAGTGGGAATCCACATCTCTCTGCAGAAATTATGTACAAGTTGGTGATTCAGACATTCCAAGGTTTTGGTACTAGTATTCAAAAATGGAGTTCCACAGTTTTGTATACTTGATTCTCACTTTAAGCTTACAAACCTTCGTCGTAAGGTCTGCAAGACAGGAATACCAGATTCCGGCATGAAGCGATTGGTTTGGGTGAAAGTCGCGAGAGAATGCAAGTCAAATGGAACCGGCTTTAATTTATTTCTTGTATATACCGATATTTTGACAGTCGAAGGCACTAAATGAAGCACATCAAATGGATATTTTGAAGTTAATCAGCCATAAAGTGGCGTTTAACAAACTGCAATAAATGTTATGTATTGATTTCACTATTGCGGTTACCATTAGCAACCGGTAACAGACACCGTCGCAAATCGTATTTACGCACATGGCTTACCATTAGCGACCGTAGTATCAAATTTATAAAATGTGAATATTATGTCATATCAGCCTATTACGTTCAATGCAATTAACAATCATGTTATGGTAATGCTTTTTGAAATACATTTATAGGTTGAATTTCTCTTTACGACAAACTTAGATATTAATAAACAAATGAAATCGAAAGCCATCAACACTGTTTGGAATCAAAGGGTCTTAAATTCGTAAATTCACATCTAAAACAGATCCTTTGAACACATTCTCATTTTCAAATACTGATAGTTGTGGAAAACACGGTAATTTCAACCTTAACTGAGCGTACGTCATGCGATGGCCTATAGAAATTCAGCGTCTCCGGGCTGTTGGTATGCTGGACACTGGAATGGCCCAAAATGAAGTGGCCAAACGTTTTGGTGTCCATTGAAACACGATCTCATCTCTATGGAGAAGTTTTCAACATAATGGAAACACGAGAGATTTGCCTCGGACCATGCGTGACGTCACCACATTCGGCTGATACATCTGAGAAATCGATTCCAGACTGCTTGTTTTCCTGGCATGGGGAATAGGGAGACATCACATCTGATGGTCAGACATAACTTGACATTGTTAACGGCAATCTGACGGGGATGAGATCTTTGGGCAGAGACGTAAATTCACTATCTTTTTGCATAAAGATATGGCATAACATGGAACAATGTACAATTACTTAATTCCAGTGGTATATATACTAGCCACATAAAGAAACTGTGCACACAGAAAATATAAATGTAGGCACACATAAATACAGATTTGAACACAGCAAGTATTGGAGACAATCAAACGCTCATGCACGTGCCAGGCGACGTGTCGTCATTGATAGTGGCCTATGGACTTGCAGTGTATTACTGTCCGTGCAGCCCGTGCAGCTGCACACATGTGAAACTCAGAAATTGCTGTCACTGTCGAAAGCTTGATCTTTGGTCATTCAAACGTTCACAAATTCACACGAGAAGTCACATGCACATCATGCCAAGATTAACATCTGCTCAACGTCATGAAGCCATTGGAATGGTTCGTGCAGGCATGGGCCAACAACAGGTGGCAGCCCATTTCCAATGTCATCGTAACACGATATCTGCATTGGTCAGGCGTTATCGAAACATTAATGACGTCGCCGACCACCCACGCTATTGCAATAGTTGTTTTTTCCCCTTTAATTGTATTTGAAGTAATTTCCCAAAGGAATGTACTGTTTATAAACTTGAAACAAGCTGAAGTAGTTTCAGTCTCTTGTAATAACTTGAAACTCAGATCAAGTAAGCATACAGCATAACTCAATGAAGCTGCAAGTCTGCACCCAAAAAATCCAAAAATCCAAAACTATTAGTTAATTAAAACAAACAACCATCAATTACTAAAGTATCGATAGTCACACATAGTATCGATGCATCGATAGTGTTTGGTTTCTACCATCGATTAATTGCTATCGGAGACTCAACAGTTGCAATCCATCGATAGTTCGATGCATCGTTACAGCCCTAGCAGTGACCACGTCAACGACCATTCCAGGACTGCGCCGTATCTATCGCAACTCCGTCAGAAATCGTTTACGCCAGTGATTCGACCACGACGCCCTGCCATACGACCAATTCTGACAAAACGTCATCGAGACAACCTGCAAAGATTGTGTCGAAATCATGTTCGAATATGGTGGAGGAATGTTGTGTTTACAGATGAATCGAGGTCCAACATTTCTCATAGTGACGGGCGTCAACGTGGCTACCGGCGTTTAGGGGAACGTTATGCACGCAACTGTATCGTGGATAGGAATAGTTTTGAACCCCTCTAGTGATTGTTCAGGGCAATCTCACCGGTGTTGGCTGCAGGGATCAGATTCTGAGGCCTGTGGCAGTTCCTTTTCTGCAACGTCATGGACCAGGATTGACATTTCAAAAAGACAACGCTCGTCCTCACACGGCTGGGGTTGCAGTGCATTTTCTCCACCAGAACAATGTCATATTACCGCCCAAGTATGTAAATTCACCGGATCTCTCCCGAATAGAGCACGTGTGGGATGAAATGCAGTGCCGTCTACACCGTCTTCCACATCCTCCAGATAACGTTCGTGACTTGTCACGAGATTTGGAGAGGATATGGCAGGCCATTCCCCAGGCCTTCCATGCTCATCTGCTGTGCTTCACCCACAAGGTGGTCATACCGGTTTTTGCCTTGTCGTGTGACTCCTACTCGATTTTGAACTTCTGACGTCATCGTTACGGATATTGTTCATGTTCTTTTGACATTTTGTTGTGGTCCGATACTTCTGCTTATAAAGTCTACATTATTTCGTCGGTGCTTTGCTCTATTCCAGTTATGTATGTATGTATGTATGTATGTATGTATGTATGTATGTATGTATGTATGGATGGATGGATGGATGGATGGATGGATGGATGGATGGATGTATGATGGATGGGTGTGTGTGTGTGTGTGTGTGTGTGTGTGTGTATGTATTAATGTGTGTGTGTGTGTCTGTGTCTGTGTGCATGTTAAAAATCGCATGTCACACAAATTTTGTTTTCATTATCATGTCTAACGAAGAGACACACGAACGCAGTTAATTTAGTAACGCTTTGAAAATGACTGGTATGAAAGTGAATACTGTTGAGTGAAGAAGACGCATTTAAAAACATTTAAAGGATATGTGCAGAAGCAAAGCCATCGGCACACATTCTCAATACTCAGCTTGCTGTGTGCCGCTTGAAAGGGTTCCAAATGTACATGGATGTTTAGATATCTCAAAAATAAAAACACGGACAAAAGTATGAGTTTTTATCCTTATATAGCCATTTATATCGTATAAAAACTTGTGTGTATGGTTATCTTTACCCTTCGAGCGCACCATTAATTTTAGATATATGCTACGATAAAAAGTATATCAAGTTTCAGTAAAATGTTCTTTCATCTAGATAACATGGAAAACCAACTGATTTCGGTGCTGATAAGCTAAAATCGGGCCTCCTTAAATGGCAACTACTCAAAGATGGTCAGTTGTTGGTCGGCGAAATGCTGATTTGTCATGCGGAATGGACAAAAAATCACTCGTAAGAAAGTGAAAGTACATTTCTACAAGAACATCAAGCGTGTTCTTCTCTTGAAGCTGAGTGTTTCCAAGTTTCCTAGGTAACGCTTTGGGTTACTGGGCTGGAAGACATCTCTGAGTCCCGGTAAAATCGTTCTTAATTTATCATTATAACTTGCTTTATAATCCGGACTCTCTCAATTACAATAATCAACTTGCTATGAGAACAAAGCTTTGTAATTCGGACTAAAATAACAGTCCGTTGAATAAACATCTCCGTAACTTCGGTTGGGGTCCTAATCGCGGACAACACAGACCACAAGACAACTGGCAGTGTCTGTCTTGGATGTAAAACGGAAGTGTGGAAAATGGATACGTATACAAATTTTGTTTCGCTAAAAATCATATTTGGTGTAGCTGAGCAATCACATGTCAAAAAACTGTTTTCGCGGTGGAAATAGCGAGATCGCGCGAAGCCTCATCGTCATTTATGTACGTTATTTATGACTAGCCATTTATATTCTATCGCGGTATTTATCGGTAGCTCAACTGAGAACCAAAAGAACCAAATCTCTCCCTGTAATATTTCTATATTAAGCCATTTAAAGAGACGTAGTTACGAACACGCCCATCTGAAAGTAAACATGAGTGATAAATTGAGTGACATATTGAGAACGCTTCAAACTGACTGAGTTTAGTTTTACGCCGCTTTTAGCAATATTCCAGCAATATCACGGCGGGGGACACCAGTTAATGGGCTTCACACATTGTGCCCATGTGGGGAATCGAACCCGGGTCTTCGGCGTGACGAGCAAACGCTTTAACCACTAGGCTACCCCACCGCCCCGAGAACGCTTCAAAGAATATAATTTGAGAAAGGGAAGATAATGCCATGTCATGCTCCAGTCATGTCTCGACCAGCTCCAATGAACTGTCCAATAGATCATATCCCTATTACGTAGATCGATGCTCATGCGATGATCACTGGATTGTCTGGTCCAGATTCGACTATTTAGAGACCGCCGCCATATAGCTGGAATATTGCGGTGGTAAACAATAAACCAACCAGTCAACCAACCTCAAGCCAACCAAGCTCTATCCCAAAAACCAATAACACAGGCGAACCATCCACCAGCTCTTGCAATCACCTACCACCCCAACAAACCAGCCCCAGATAACCTTCTGACTGCGGAAGCAAACCCTCCACCAGCACCAGCAAACCACCTACCAGCTCCAGCCAACCTACCAGCTCCAGCCTACCCTCCTAGCACCAGCAAACCACCTACCAGCCAGCCTACCATCAACTCAGCACCAGCAAACCACCTACCAGCTCCAGCCTACTAGCACCTCAGTAAACCAGCTCCAGCTCCAGCCTACCCTCCACCAGCCAACAAAACCACCTACCAGCTCCTCCACTAGCACCAGCAAACCACCACCTACCAGCTCCAGCCTACCCTCCACTAGCACCAGCAAACCACCCACCTACCAGCTCCAGCCTAACCTACCAGCAGCTCCAGCCTCCACCCTCAACTAGCACCTAGCACCAGCCTACCTACCAGCTCCAGCAAACCCTACCACCTCAACTAGCACCAGCCAGCAAACCAGCCTACCAGCTCCAGCCTACCTCAGCTAGCACCAGCAAACCACCTACCAGCTCCAGCCAACAAAACCACTCTACCAGCTCCAGCCTACCCTCAACTAGCACCAGCAAACCACCTACCAGCTCCAGCCTACCCTCAACTAGCACCAGCAAACCACCTACCAGCTCCAGCCAGCCTACCCTCCACTAGCACCAGCAAACCACCTACCACCTACCAGCTAGCACCAGCCTACCTACCTCCAGCCTACCCTCCACTAGCACCAGCAAACCACCTACCAGCTCCAGCCAACCTACCAGCTCCAGCCTACCCTCAACAGCCAACCTACCAGCTCCAGCCTACCCTCAACTAGCACCAGCAAAACCACCTACCAGCTCCAGCCAACCTACTCAGCTCCAGCCTACCTCCTCAGCTAGCACCAGCAAAACACCTACCAGCTCCAGCCTACCCTCAACTAGCACCAGCAAACCACCTACCAGCTCCAGCCAACCTACCAGCTCCTACTACCCTCAACTAGCACCAGCACCTACCAGCTCCAGCCTACTCCCCTCAGCTAACAACACCAGCTCCAGCCTACCCCTCAACTCAGCACCAGCAAACCACCTACCAGCTCCAGCCAACCTACCAGCTCCAGCCTACCCTCAACTAGCACCAGCAAAAACCACCTACCAGCTCCAGCCTAACCCTAGCACCAGCTCCAGCTCCAGCCAACCTACCAGCTCCAGCCTACCTCTAGCAAACCACCTACCAGCTCCAGCCAACCTACCAGCTCCAGCCTACCCTCAACTAGCGCCCAGCAAACCACCTACCAGCTCCAGCCTACCCCCTAACTAGCACCCAGGAAACCACCCACAGCTCCAGCCTACCCTCCACTAGCACCAGCAAACCACCTACCAGCTCCAGCCTACCCTCAACTAGCACCAGCAAACCACCTACCAGCTCCAGCCTACCCTCCAACTAGCACCAGCAAACCACCTACCAGCTCCAGCCTACCCTCCCTAGCACCAGCAAACCACCTACCAGCTCCAGCCTGCCTCAACTAGCACCCAGCAAACCACCTACCAGCTCCAGCCTACCCCTCCACTAGCACCAGCAAACCACCTACCAGCTCCAGCCTGCCTCCACTAGCACCAGCAAACCACACTACCTGCTCCAGCCTAGCCTACCCTCAGCTAGCACCAGCAAAACCACCTACCAGCTCCAGCCTACCCTCCACTAACACCAGCAAAACCACCTACCAGCCACCAGCAACTAGCACCAGCAAGAACCACCTACCAGCACCCAGCCTACCCTCCAGCCTACCCTCCTAGCACCAGCAAAACACCTACCAGCTCCAGCCTACCCTCAACTAGCACCAGCAAACCACCTACCAGCTCCAGCCTACCCCCAACTAGCACCAGCAAACCACCTAACAGCTCCAGCCTACCCTCAACTAACACCAGCAAAACACCTACCAGCTCCAGCCTACCCTCAACTAACACCAGCAAAACACCTACCAGCTCCAGCCTACCCTCAACTAGCACCAGCAAAACACCCACCAGCTCCAGCCTACCCCCAACTAACACCAGCAAACCCTCCCTCAGCTCCAACAGACCCTCCAACTGCTACAGCAGACTAGCATTCAATCCCAGCAAACCCTCCACCCTATTAAATCTTACAGTTCACTACATTGTACTATTTCATTAATTATCAGGTCGCTCATATTTTCTGTAAGTACTCTGGACTCGTTGTTTTGTAGGTCAGCAGGCTTGCACGTCTTCTAGAGTGAAGATGTTGGTAAGATTATGACCGCATAGTCCAACTCACCAGGGAATTTCCTGGAAATGTCTGCCTGTGAGGAAAATTTCCCCTGGTCTGAACGCAAGTGGATCTTAAAAAATTCGTTTTAATACAGTGGAACCATCATTTGATTTTCTTTGTTTGTGACTCGATTACGATGCAATTGAATTTACTAGATCATGAAAATATCCATCCTAGTGTATCCCATTTTCGAAAACTTAGTTATTTAACTACGAATGTTTGAAAATGTATGCATATCACTGATTAATGGGTATTGTGAACTGAAGTAAGATAAAATGCATACATATCTATAAAGTCTGTTCAATTGTAGAACTTATTCTGTTCAATTCGTGAGTACAACTATAGATTGTTTATCACATGTTTACCACTATCAGCTGCTCATTTCCCACGAAGCTCCAATGATCATGGACTATAAATATTGTTCCGTGTCCACTCTGTTGTTCAATTAACACCAATTGAGGTATACATTTTTCTTGCAGTTTGCCATGTACAGCAGCCAAAACTGCTGAGTGAATAAACGCAAGTGAAAAAGAATAAATTGTTCACCATCATGATATTTATTAGTTACATTAAAATGATTCAGTCGAATTGTTAATTTTCAAAGAAGAAATATAAATGCATCGGAGACTATTCTTAACTCTAATACCCGTGAAGGTCCTTGTTATTGGTCTTCAGTAACCCATGCTTGTCGTAAGAGGCGACTAACGGGATCGGGTGGTCAGGCTCGCTGGCTTGGTTGACACATGTCATCTGTTCCCAATTGCGCAGATCGATGCTCATGCTGTTGATCACTGGATTGCCTGGTCCAGACTCGATTATTTACAGACCGCCGCCATATATCTGGAATATTGCTGAGTGCGGCGTAAAACTCACTCATTCACTCACTTAACTCTACATTCAACTCTTGTACTCAGGTACTCTTGACAATGCTATATATTTCTGTAAAAATAGCTGTTGGCACTTACAGAATCACATTTTAAATATGTTAAAACAACTTTGCAGGATAGTTATAAGCAACAAATCAATGTGTGAATCATGAAGAGTATGATACGGTTCCCTGACATGAGCCATTGTTGTTTTCGGCTATTCTTAGAAAATGGCATCTGGGCAACCAAAGACCTCAGGCAGCTCCTACTTTAAAAACGATTAAGGCGAAACGACTGACCGTTTTTACCTCGGTGACTGAATACTTAAACGTCACATCTTCCATAGCTTGGCGTTCAAACGATTTCCCATTACTGACGTTTCTATATTTACTTATACCATATATTCCCGCATTATTTCAGGTGAAGAATTGGCTTGTCTTTACATTTTTGCTAATGATGTGTGCCACCGATGGGGCAGGATGTCGCTTGTATTACAATGTATACAAACATTGTAGAATAGAGAATATGCAAACACATAGTATGTTAAAGCAATAATGTTTCTCTTTCCAACCGTGGACCAGTCTCGACTGAATATCTCATACTAGATGTGACCATTGATTATTGGCCTTTGTAAATGGTATATGGCGAGAGGTCGACGATACTGCCTGCATATGTTCACCGACCATTTTGAAGGATATTCCGACCTACTATTGATGTAGACACACATTTATTATTTTGAGCTAATACAATTGCTGTGATTTCATTCAGTCATCATTTCACATATTCTCTACTACTGTCATAACTTTCTTAGACCTCTCTTTCTGAGTTTTAAAAACCTGTCAGACAGACATGACATCATTTTTTAATGTTACCAGGCCTGATAAAATGTATAACTTCTTCAACCAAAGTGAAGTTGTTCTCACATTCATGTCGCAATTATAAATGTCATGTATGACTAAAAAAACTAATAAACAAAATAAGTTTCTTAAGAAACTTTTATACGCAACCTTGAAGTGGCATCTTGCATGATATAAAACATATGCAAACTAGATTGCTATATACATTTATTACCTGGGCCGTCAGTATCTTCTGTTTTCTTTACCCCATACGTCTTAGTGGACCAGTTAGTGTAGGTGCCCGTCTGGATAAACCATTTGGTTGCAAGAATCTATTCTTCCATGGATTTCTAGAAAAACCTGAAAACAAACAATGGGATTCTCTTGGGAAACATGGTATACTCTCCAAAAATGTTAAGGGAACTGACGAAATTAGGGAACGATGAAAGTGTAATGACATTAAATATGTGTAAATTTATTTTGGGCATGTAGATGAATATCCAGCTTGATGGTTGACACACGTACAAATACTTAATGGCAGCATACTGTTGGTTATCTTGCCGATGGTTATATTTGGTATTGTCAACCGTTACATCTGAAGAGCTTCTTCCCTGCTGAGCTACGTTCTTGGTCATCCGACAGATTCTGGGCCGGGGACATGTCAGGAGACTTAACGGTCCAGTCCATGTCCAAACTTTCAGCCGATAATTGTCGCAAAAGGAACGAGTGAGTGAGTGAGTGAGTTTGGTTTTACGCCGTTTTTAGCAATATTCCAGCACCATCACGGTGGGGGATGCAAAAGGAACGAGGACAGGATGGAAGTTCGTCTACAAACAGTTGGTCAAGCATACGCTCTTTAGAACAACCAAATCAGTTCGACTTGGGTACCACCCACACATGACACTAACGCCCCAATACCGATCGTAGTTAAGAATTGTTGCCTTGGCTTAACACTCGCCATTCGTGGCCAATAACGTTGTCTGTCATGTAATCGGAGGCAACTTGGATTCGTCTGTAAACAAGCACTGGCACCCAGCGTGTCTCTGGTGCTGCCTAGTTCACGCCTTCCTCTTATTGTACGAAATTCCCTATTGATAACAGAAGCAGGTTAGAATCTATAGTGTAGTGGAATTCGTGTTGTGCAATTGATATAATTAGACGATCTTGTATAGTTGTCATTTCTAAGCCTGCCTAGACATGACCTCATTTCAACCCTAACCGTTTGACGGTACTTGCCGCAGAGTCATTAACGTGCCCCTGACCTCCACCCTTCAAACCCCAATCGTACTCATCTTAGATGTGAATTTACAAGAATACGAAGACAAACATTGATCATTACAGGATTTTAGAGCTGGGTATTGCAGAGAATTTTCATATTGCGATATATTGCGATGCGAAAGCATATATTACGATATGCATTGCAACAGATTGCAAGAAGTTCTTTGTTAACAAAAAACCTATTAATAATCGAGTTAATGCTTGATTTATAAAGCAAAACAAAATGACCATGCTTGATTAAGCTTTAATAAAAACTTCTTATCATGACAAAATAAAAATGTAAATAATATTTGGCACAAATAAAAAGGAAAGGAACAATTGATAAAACGGAAATATCCGAAGATTTCGGAGTGTTACGAAGTTTTCCGAATGCATGTCAAAATACCGGTTTTTTAATCAGCGTATCGCAATACGTATCGTTTTCATGTCTGAACCGGTAAATACCGGTACACCGGTTATATTGCGCAGCCCTACAGGATTTACCTGGCATGTTCAGGTTTCGTCCCTGTGTACGTAAGTTAGGTGGAGATTTCCTTCAAATCCCAATCGTACTCATCTTAGACGTCCATTTACAAGAATACGAAGACAAACATTGATCATTACAGGATTTACCTGGAATGTTCAGGTTCCATCCCTCAGCACGTCGTTCAGGTGTACCTTTCTGTGTACGTTGCAGTGACCTCTTGGGTTGCCTGCGTGCCAGTTCCTCCTCTACCTTTCTGAGCATTACTGAAAACAACAATGGCATTCCCTGATCATTATAGGATTTACCTGGCATTTTCGGTTTTGGTACCTGTATACGTCATTTAATCGGATATTTCCTTCAAACCCCAATCGTACTCATCTTAGACTTCAATTTACAAGACGAAATAGACAAACATTTATCAAAGCAAGATTTACCTGGCATGAACCATTGCGCCTGTGTCGGTTTCTGTGTAGGTTTGTGTTGTAGTGGCCCCTTTGGTTGCTTAGCTGTCGGTTCCTTCCGGTCCTTTCCGCGAATAGCTAAAAACAACAATGGGATTCTCTAGGTGTACTATCCAAAAAGGGAACT